AGTACAGGAGACATCACTACACTATCTACAGTACAGTACAGGAGACATCACTACACTATCTACAGTACAGTACAGGAGACATCACTACACTATCTACAGTACAGTACAGGAGACATCACTACACTATCTACAGTACAGGAGACATCACTACACTATCTACAGTACAGTACAGGAGACATCACTACACTATCTACAGTACAGTACAGGAGACATCACTACACTATCTACAGTACAGTACAGGAGACATCACTACACTATCTACAGTACAGTACAGGAGACATCACTACACTATCTACAGTACAGTACAGGAGACATCACTACACTATCTACAGTACAGTACAGTATAGGAAGTTCAAAGACACTGTCAGCCAGGCTGAGGCTAGCTCAGCAAGATCCCGCTCCTCTGTCATATAAAATAATTCAACACACCCTTCCTCCTCTCCTCTCCTCTCCTCTCCTCTCCTCTCCTCTCCTCTCCTCTCCTCTCCTCTCCTCTCCTCTCCTCTCCTCTCCTCTCCTCTCCTCTCCTCTTCCACCACCTTCCCTTCCTCCCTCCTCCCCACCTCCCTCCATCCTCAGCAAGATACCTCGCCCTCTCCTCCAATGTAAAACACTTCAACACATCCTCCCCCCTTCTTCCCTCCCCTTCCTTCCCTCCCTCTCTCCTCTGTCATGTAAAACACTTAAACACATGACCAAGCCCTTCGGCCTACTACAAGGGGCCAGTTGGCAGTTTTTCTGGCAACTATACTGCTATAATTATTCTGTAATTAAAGTGTCTAATAACAATAAGACCAGATTATTTATCGGGCCTACATTTTATTGGCCCACTGGGGTGGCTTTTCTCTGCTGGTTATCTATAACCTTGTTTGATGTGTTACACATTCAGGATTTGTATATTGTAGAACGTGAACATGTGTTTTTGGGGTTGGCTGTTCTCTTTATCGTAGAAAATGAACATGTGTTTTTGGGGGCATCTGTTCTAATTGTTGTAGAAAGAGGGAGGGAAAGGTTTTGTTGCAGTCAGTGTCATCATCTCACAGTATTACGGACCATCAAAGTTGCTAGTCCAGCATAGTAGTGTAACTGAGCCTACACATTGGACCTGTGAATGGCAGGCTTTTTACACCATATAGGAGGGAATAGTCTGCAGAGCAGCTGGAATGTTCAGTTGAGTTGTAATTTAGTTATAAGGAACACGTCAGCTTTCAACTGGTGCTGCTCATTTGAATTCCAACCCATTCACAATGCATATGAATCATTGAAAGTATTGACTTAAAGTTGTTGGTTTGTAAGGATCGGACCCTTTTTTCAAAATTTAGCCTAAAATGACATACCCAAATCTAACTGCCTGTAGCTCAGGACCTAAAGCAAGGATATGCATATTCTTGATACCATTTGAAAGGAAACACTTTGGAGTTTGTGGAAATGTGAAATTAATATAGGAGAATATAACACATTAGATCTGGTAAAAGATAATACAAACAAACAAACATGCGTTTTTTTTGTTTGTTTTGTTCGGTCATCTTTGAAATGCAAGAGAATGGCCACAATATAAGGTTGCAGTTAGAGAACATACAAAAATGATATGGTAATACAAAATGTAAGTTTACACACTCCCAGGAATGTCATACATGATGGATCATTAGCTTATACACTAACTTTCACACGTCTAGATGGCCGGGCGGGGTGGGTGTGGAGCCAGAGACAGCAGGGGTTCAAACTGTAGAACCCAGTTCCTACATTTGAATATAAAAATTGATTTTATCAAACAAAACTATGCTACATTTTATCTCTGGGGCCCTTAGGATGACAAATCAGAGCAAGATTACTGAATGTAAGTACATTATTTACCTTCAGAGGGGAATGTATCAAACCAGTTGCCGTGATAGTTTTTGTTGTTGTTGTGCACTCTCCTCAAACAATAGCATGGTATTTTTTCACTGTACTAGCTACTGTAAATTGGACAGTGCAGTTAGATTAACAATAATTTAAGCTTTCTGCCCATATAAGACATATCTATGTCCTGGAAAGTTTGCTGTTACTTACAACACTCATGCTAATCACATTAGCGCACGTTAGCTCAACCGTCCTGTATATGGGACACCGATCCCATAGAGGTTAAACAAGAACTCTCTTCATTTATCGGCCTATAGTTATAATTAAACTTTATTATTACGTTTTGAGAATAATTCATTGTCACTTGCCAGAATTTTGGAATTAATAAATGTATCAATTCATACGACCCCCAGTTAACCTTTGCCTCCGCTCACCGCCAAGCTTCTGCTCAGAATGCTGACATGGATTTGGAATTTAGAATGCAGAAGGCGGAAATGAATTTTAAGTGCATTTTTTAACTCTCAAATAAAATCCCCCTGAAGACACCAGTTAGAAACTCTTAAACTGACATTAAGATCAAGTTATGTGCTCCGTTAAGCGCTCAATATTGACAAGTTGGGAGTTTATGCAGCATTTAAAGGTCACACTTTATTTGGATAGTCAGGGATAGTCCATCTGTAGATGCTACAAACTATCTGTTGATAAGCAACTGCTTGCTAAGGTTAGGGTTAGGGCTAGGTTAAGAATAAGGGTTAGGGTAAGGGTTACGTTTAGGATAAGGATTAAGGTTAGGGTTAGGGCTAGGGTTAGTAGATAGTTAGTTGAAATGTTACTAATAGCCAGTAGATAGTCTATAGAACATCTACAGATGGACTATCCAAATAAAGTGCTACCCATTTAAATGCCCAGTGCAGTCAAAATACAGCTTTGCCTGTGTTTTGAATCATATTGTACAACAGCTGATGAAACTAACACTTTAAAAGTGTGAAAAATGTGATCAGTGATATTTCCTGATAGCTACTGGTTGAAATACAATGTACACAGGATCTTCTAATCAGAAGGTTTTGCATGGGTGGAGCTTGCCTGGTGTAATCACCAGATGGTATACGTTAATAGACCATTAACAAAGAGAGTTTCAAACCTCTCTGCCAATAACAGCTCGTTTTCAGAATCCATCCCTCCCATTAGTCCCCTCCAATTAGGTCCCTCACTCAGACCACTCGCAGACAGTCCTAGCAAAGTTCTTGCTTGAGAAATAGATTTTTTTTAAAAAGCTATTTTTGTTGCTTTTTGACCATTTAAATGGAAGAATATTACTGATTGATTCAAAAAAGAATTACAGTATTTCATTCATGCTCACAGTTGACAAGACTGAATTATGCAGAATGCACAGTTACATTTAGATAATATAGTTACTAAATTCAGTTAAAAAGGTCCTAGCTTACAAGAAATTATAGTTTAAAAAGTCACATTTGGTTATTCAAAAGTCTGATGGTAGTGGCTATGGTAGAACTTTTCAGCCAATTTTCCTTGCCTTGATGCTGGACAGTTGGTTCTGGTTGCGGAGATAGGAGATCATGGAGAAGCTGGTCAGGTTGGTGCATCATGTCTCTGACCAATCTTACTGCTCCTTGCTCTCTCTGTGACTGTAGTGGTGGAAGGGTCAGTGGAATGTCTCTGTTTTTTGTTATTATCTTGCTTGCCCTTTTCTGTATCGTATCTAACGCAGCTTGCTGCTTCTTGCTATTACAGTAATTACAGTAATGTACTTAATTGTGACCCAGAAATGATTTGATATTGAGAAAAGAACGGCTGCATTGGGCCTTTAAATGCATTGCCTCCTAATAGCAACTCATGATGTGGGTTTAATTGTGGTGTAGATTATGGCTCAATTGGTTGAAGCATGGGACTAGCACATTAAAATCTTATTTTATCCTTATTTTACCAGGTAAGTTGACTGAGAACAGATTCTCATTTAATGAGCCAATTGAAGCTGGGGATGATTAGGTGGCCATGATTTTATGAGGGCCAGATTTGGGATTTTGCCAGGACACCGGGGTTAACACCCCTACTCTTACGATAAGTGCTATGGGATCTTTCGTGACCACCCGTTTAACGTCCCATCCGAGAGGCGCCACCTTACACAGGGCAATGTCTCCAATCACGAAAGGGTTAGCTGTAAGTCACTTGGGATAAAAGTATCTGCTAAATGACCATATTAGCCATATTAAGCCAGGGTTTCCAAAACTAGGGGTCGCAACCCCATGTAGGGTCGCGACCCCATGTAGGGTCACCTGATTTGAAAATGGGGTCGCAAAAGAACATTTGCGCTTGGTTCATAGAACCTGGGATTAAGTCAGTAACCTCCAGTAGCCGCTAGATGCGGTTGTAATAAACAGAGCGGCTTCGGTTCTCTGTCTACAAATGTGGCTCTATCTTTTGAATGGTTTAAGCTACTAAATATTATGACCCCATCACTGAAATATAAGACTCTCAGGAACACGTACGTAAGTACTGTTTCCTTCTACTATGCCCACAAGCCGTTAGAACCGAGTGGGCAAGACCAAGCACTAAATCAGACTGGGGGGGAAATGAGGTTCTTTTCTACACAGAAGATCATACAACATTATTGCCTGATGATCTTCTGAATCCAATACCTTTCTGATGCATTTCAGTCATTTCAAACCATACGGTCTTCAGATTCAAATGCTGTCAGAAATACTGTCAGACTGATTTGTAATAGACTGTCATAGCCCAAATTAAAAAGTAAACATTGGCTGTAGATTATATACATGGTGGGGTCGCAAAAAAATATTTATATCAAAATGGGGCCGTGGGCCTAAATAGTTTGGGAACCCCTGGTCTAAGCATTTGTTGGAAAAAAAAACATATCCTGATCCATACTGTGATATGGTATCGCTCAAAGCCCTTAAGATGACTATTGGCAGCATTTGACTTTCTGAACCTCTCTGATCGTGTCTGGCCATATCTAACCGTGTGGTCTCTTTCCTCTGCAGGGACCCTGAAAAGCTTGCTGCAATATTACATTATGGAGATGATTATTGGCAACACTTGTGGCGGCTCTGACCCTGACCGTTTGTCACCGTCTCTGGCTGTGTTTGACCGCGTGTGACCGTGTGGTCTCTCTCTCCTCTGTAGGGACCCTGAACGCGCTCCTGAGACAGAAGGGTCAGGCAGCGACAGAGGGGCCCACCTGGTCGCTGAGCGGTAACCAAGGCGACCACTGGAAACAGGCCAAAGTTAGCATCCACCCAACCGCTTCTTTCCAGGTGAGTAAGACCTTGTGTGATTGGACGATTCGGGAGTCAGTCAGGGGAAGAATCCCAACTTAGTCTATGTCTATAACAGCAATATCTCTCTCCATTTCTCTCTCTCCCTCCATCTCTCGCTTTTTCTCCCACCTCAGGTGGTGCTGGAGGGTATCCGAGGTCCTGGCATTGAGGGGGACATCGCAATTGATGATGTCACCCTAGAGGAGAGAGAGTGTAGAGATATACCAGCCATTAGTGAGTACAAAAACATAGGAGGACTTTATCCCTAGTTGCTCATCTAAAGATGGTGATGGATAAGATAAGGGTTTGGGAGAGGGTAAGATCATCTTAGACGTGTGCCTAGGGTTGCTTTTTGCTGCACCTGCGATAACATTAGCAAAACTGTGTATGTGACCAATACACTTCGATTTGATTTGAGATGCTTATCTAAGGTCAGTTATCAAGTCAGTTAAGATTTTGGGGAAGACAAAGTAAGCTGGTTGTAGATCTGTTCTCTCTCTCTCTCTCTCTCTCCCCTCTCTCTCTCTCTCTCTCTCTCTCTCCCTCTCTCTCTCTCTCTCTCTCTCTCTCTCTCTCTCTCTCTCTCTCTCTCTCTCTCTCTCTCTCTCTCTCTCTCTCTGAGGGCCACTTCAAACCGGCCGCTATAGTGTCTCTCTAGAAAAGAAAAAAAAGTGTGTTTGGGACGGGGGGGGGGGGGGGGGGGGGGGGGACGGGGGGGGGGGGGGGACGTTTGCCATAGCAACGGGGCTGTAATCACATGAATGATAGCAGTCCTGAACGGAGCGACGGAACAAGCAACAGTCCGCGGGGAGGTGAGCACTGTAATTGCAGACAAGGAGGAACAAACAGAGAGAGCAAAAATAGAAAAGCCGGACAGGTAATGGCCTGCAATTGACGAGGCGGCCATATTGACAAGATAGGAGGAGGAGAAGGAGGACTCACTGCAGGAGGGAGAGGAAGTCTGATTAAAGTCTGCTTCTAAAGGGACCGGTTAGACACACACACACACACACACACACACTCGCTCACACACACTCTCTCTCTCACACACACACACACACACACACACCACACACTCCTGGGAAATAAACTTGTTAGTTTGAATTTGATTTTAAGATAACAGATTGAAGGAGGGTTGATAGATATTTCTGGGAATTGAATAAAGGGAATCACTTGTGAACAATTTGAACGGACCTCTCTACAAAATGTGATATTGCTTTTTTGTCAAATGAATACATTCCTACTTACTTACTTGTTCTCACAATACCTGTGTTACTTAACTGGAAAAGGAAACTGTGAAACCGTTTTAAATGAATTACATGATCAAACTTTTAGCTGCAGCTATGAATAAGATTTTGAGCATAACTGGTCACTATTTCAACATCTACTATGTAAAACAAAAAAATAACAATGTCTAGCATATTTCCAGTTACAATAGCCAGGATTAATATCTTAATAAACTAAAGTAAACTAAACAATATCCAGTCAAGTCCAACAGATCTAATGGCAGGAGTTTCAGACAGTGTGTATTTGTCTGCAGTGTATCTGGCTCCATTATCATTCAGATCAGTTTAATCACTTCATTAGTAGTTAAGGAGTTAGTCACCCAGGTCGAGGACAGACTCTGACTCTCTCCATGCATTATGGATTTACCATCTCTCAACATGAATATTAGATAATCCTGACTGCCACCATGGAAACAGCATGTGTTTTAATGAAAGTTCTTCTAATGTATCATTTTAACTAAGAATGACTGGATATTATTTATGGAGATATTTTTGGGAGGAAACAGATTTCAGGGTCATGATGACGTCAAATGTTGTTGAACGTCTTTTAATTCTAACTCTGTCTCCGCCCCTTTCAGATCTCAGATCCGCTGCCCCGTCTACGTCTGCCCATATATGGCTGCTGAGTGTCACCTTGGCGATGACCTTCCTGTGGGGTCAAAGGTGACCTTTCCCTGCGTCATCTGGCGGAGGCGAACGGCCCGACCCGGTCTCGGCCCCAACCTCGGCCCTGGCGTCTGTGTTATTGTAACCTCAGCATCCAATCACCAAAGATTCATGCATTCAGAAGGCGGCGGCGAGGGGATCCAAACACAGACCACCACGAGGGACGAAAATCTATGAAACAGATGAAAAAAATGAAAAAAATACTATAAATAAATAAAATAAGATCCGCTAATGTTTTTAAAGAGACAACTTTTCCAGAAAATTGCTTCCCAAGCGCAGGATTGTGAGCACTTTTACGAGCGCGAAGCAAAGCCAGGTGTTGCGACGCCTGGATTTTAATGAGTGTTCACAAGCGCAGCGGGATAACTATTTGTAAAGCACAAGGGCAATTTTGCCAGTCAGTTAGGAAACTTTAATTAAAAGGTAAGTGGGAAATGAGACATTGGTGACTTTTTGAAGAACAAAATGACTTTTCCACAGCTTAAAAAAACACATGGAATCGAAGCTTTTCTCTGTCTGTCTTATCTTTTTGGAGTTGCACCTGATACACATCATGGACAATTTTCACTCTGCCCAGCCACCCTGACCTTCACACCTTGACATGTCGCTCTCTCTCGACTTGGTGCTGTGCTGTAGAAAACAGAAACTCGGACAACGTTTAGTTATCTATCCCAGCTCTCGCTCCCCTCTTACCCAGTAGCTGCCTAAGTATTTCACAACACTGTCCTCACCAGTCCAAGTAGCCAACAGAGGGTATATGAGGCCAAGTAAGCAGGCCCCAGGCAGACCCCAGACAGGCCCCAGGCAGACCCCAGGCAGACCCCAGGCAGGCCCCAGGCAGACCCCAGACAGGCCCCAGGCAGACCCCAGGCAGGCTCCAGGCAGACCCCAGGCAGGCTCCAGACTCATGGTCTGTAGGTTAGTTGGAGAAGAGGGGTAGGAGAGAGAGTTGAAGAGGGGTGGGGCATAGAGGTGGAGAGGGGTAGGAGAGAGAGTTGAAGAGGGGTGGGTTGGAGGGTGGAGTGGGGTAGGAGAAAGTTGAAGAGGGGTGGGTTAGAGGGTGGAGTCGGGTAGGAGAAAGAGTTGAAGAGGGGTGGGTTAGAGGGTGGAGTCGGGTAGGAGAAAGAGTTGAAGAGGGGTGGGGTAGAGGGTGGAGTCGGGTAGGAGGAAGAGTTGAAGAGGGGTGGGGTAGAGAGGTGGAGAGGGGTAGGAGAAAGAGTTGAAGAGGGGTGGGTTGGAGGGTGGAGTGGGGTAGGAGAAAGAGTTAAAGAGGGGTGGGTTAGAGGGTGGAGTCGGGTAGGAGAATGTTGAAGAGGGGTGGGGCAGAGAGGTGGAGAGGGTTGGGGAAGAGAGGTGGAGGAAGGGCTTTGGGGTTAGGACAGATGACGTGTATAGGGAGGTGGAGGTCCGTAGCAGTCAGAGAGAGGTGGGTAGAGATGGACAGACAGACCGACAAACAGACAGTTGAAGGTCCAAGGCTAGGTGGAGGGCAGAGGGGAAAGGAGTGGAGGGGAGGAGTGGAGGGGAGGAGTGGAGGATGGAGAGCAAAATGGAAGGGTGGAAGACAAATGAGAAGAGAGGTGTCTCTGGTCTACACCAGCTAGCCGGTCGACGCCTGCAGCTGAGGAACAGAAGCCACTTTCTGCCATGAAACAAAGTGCCTTCAGATCACAAACACAGAACAGACCGAACTGTGAGCCTGGATGATAACACCAAACACACCTATGATGATGATAATGATGGTGATGTTTCCACTGATGGGCTATTTTCTACATGTTTCTTTTGCCCCACAAGTGCTGGTGGGAGGCATGCTTGCTCAGAGGGATTCAGTTGAAGTTGTGTGAGTGTGTGTGTGTGTTTTAGGGCAAGCTGGGGGAAAGTCAGGCAGACCGGAGGGCTTTGGTCCCAGGACTATTGCAAGTCGTCACAAACCAGGCAGTTGTGGCCATTTCAATAAAGGAGTTAGTGAAAATGGAGAGGAGGGGTAAAAGCGATGGACTACAAAGGGAGGAGGGGCTGTGGAGCTTCTCAGAAAGACAGTTAGAAAACACATACTGTATGAGGACAAAGACAGTCGATTGATCGCCTCGCTGTTTCAGAAAGAGTCTCCATCCCAGCCGAACTGACTTTTTTAAAGAAAAGAACAGAACTATTAATGAGTAAAACATTGTGTTGTACAGGGAGTAGAGTAGGAGATGCCGACTGAAGGCTCGACATTAGATGGAATACTGTAAGCCTCGCCGCCCCACACACCTCCACCATTTATATCAAACAATGTGAGAGAAAAATATGAATAATGATCATAATAATGATATTTTATTACTCTAGCGAGAATGTTTCTCTGCTTTTACACAAACTGTGAAGATTGACTGTGGAAGATCAACCTGAGACCCTCCATTACCTTAACCAGCTGGTTTTTAAAAAAGACTAAAAGAAATTGAGAAAGATTGCGTACATTGTTGGTTATGAAGAGAAAACAAAAACGTTTTGAGGACTTGGTCTTGTTTCTTATATTTTTCTGTTGGGAAAATGATCTGACTTTTAACTTCCTTTTATCTTCTTGTTGTCTCCCTTGCATTGCTGAAGTATCAAAACCCGACGATGGAAACATAAGACGTTAAACCTATTTGGTAATTGTATAACTTGTAAATGTAAAGAAGCTCTATTATAAAGGTTTATGATCAGTGTTTTATGTTGGAGAACTGGAAGCACAACATATAAGGTCTCAACATATAAAATGCAGTATATATGCACCTATATGTGACCTGCTCACACAAAGTCAGGCTTATAGACTCCGAGAAACATATTACACAATCATCAATAATAAATAACTTACGTTGACATTCATACAGTGTTACCCATCCAAAGACATGAATGCAAATTCTGTGAAAAACTACCAGTCATAGATCATCAAGAATTAAACTTACGAGACAATTATGGCCAACGAATTTGGTTGTTATTGAGTTGTAATTTGGTTGGTAATGTGACTTTTGATGCAGAAAACGTTTTGTGATGCAAAGACAAAGTACTAGAAACATAAGCCTGGTTTGGTCCGAGCGGGTCGTGTACGTGTGTGAGCATATGCAGTGTACAATAGGTGTGATAAGAAACAGATACATGTAAACTAAATAAAATACCATACATAAAACAAAACAGAGCAGAATGAGAGGCAGCCGTTATAAAGCATTAATAACATCCTCTCATAATGTATATGTTATAGTTCCTAGGACATTATCACGTTTACATGTACTGTCTATGCTGTAGAGTCTGTTTGGTTTCACAAAGATGCCCAGATCATATTGAATGTAAATTAA